GGAGGGAGGGAGGGAGGGAGGGAGGGAGAGAGAGAGAGAGAGAGAGGGAGAGAGAGAGAGAGTGTGTGTGTGTGTTGCATTTGTGCTGATAAATAACAAAGGCAACATTAAAAATAATGGCTTTCTGTCTGGATGGTCTCCTGGGGTGACCTGATAGACAGAGAAAGGAAGCAGTATGCTTCCTCACGTTTGGGTATACCAGGGGTTGTGACATAATATATATACATACGTATACGTATACGTATAGATATAGATACACACACACACACGTTTGTGTGTGTGTGTTTCTAGATATGAAAATAGAAGTTACATCATGACTAAAGCTGCTCCAAGATCCAACGTTGGATTTAACAGTAAGATTTTTTCCATTAAGAATCCATATTGTTAACCATTGTACCAAAAGTCTGATGACTACTCAGAGGTTGGGGTTGTGTTTTTTTTTTTTGTCAACTCAAAATTACTTACTTTGCTCACAATGCCTTATTTTTCCATTGCCGGCTTTTCCAAGGAACATTCATTTCTCTAAGCCTTTCATGAATGTTAACATTCCCTATTCAGATTTACACACAGAGAAGGAGGAAAGAAGGAAGAATTATTACCTTGCTAATTTTGACAATTGAAGGTGCTCCGGGAAATCCAGGGATGCAAGTCTTAAATTCACTGATTTTGCTGAAAGGCCCTACACCGCATCCATTAATTGCAGCAACCCTGAACCTGTATAAAGTGCCAGGAGCGAGATCCTGTTTCTTAAATAAACTGGCATTTGGAATATCTGTATTGTCTCCCTAAACATAAATAACATGAAAAGAAATAAATAATTATTTGCTTTTCTTAAAACACAGGTTCTAAAGACTCCTTATGTTCTAGATGAACGGTGTCAAACTCACGGCCCACGGACCAAATGAGTCATGCACTAGCCACGTCCACACCTGGTTTAGCGAAGGGGAGAAAAGTCATGATACGTCCTGTGACACTGCCGCAGTGGTGAGATACGACCGGTACGCCCTGGTACGGGCGTACCGGTGCCTGCTGGGAGCATCAGGTACCGTTCCAGTACGGTGCTCCGGAGGGCCCACGGTGGGAGGGCCCACCGTACCTGTATTTTAGCCGATCGGGGCTTTCACATACGGAGCGTATGGTGCCTGCGCGACACTCCGCCAAGCAGCTGGAGCATCGCAGGTGGTAAGTACACATGCGCATGCTGTGCGCGTGCTGATGGTGGACGCCCGGCCCTGTTGCAGTGCACTGGTTACAATGGGATGTAGAACCCACCACTGCACTGCAGTGACGCTGCGAGTTTGACACCCCTGTTCTAGATCGAATTTCCTATTAGGAAGAGCTTTCAGCATAGCTGCCTATTAAGCAAAACCAGCGTTGAATGTTTTTAAGATCCACTGGTGTAAATGGGAGAGTGGAATATATGATACATTTTCAAATGGCACATGAGATTTACCTCTGCTTAATTTGAGAATAGTATCAATGATTAACGTATAGAACTTAAAGCCCAAATGTTAAACGCCCCTGAACATCTTGGTTGTGGTTCCTATAAATATCTAAAAGTTACTATCAAACTGAAAATGTTAAACGTAAAATCACAAAATCATAATGATTTTTAATCTTAATCAAAATAAATCATGTTGAATTTCATTTGTATAAAAGCCGATGCAAATCTCTGCTTTTAAAAAAAGAAATAGGGTTCCCAAATTGAAAGAAGAAAAGTTTTTAAGGTTAACTGGTGTCAGAAAAAGACTATGTAAATACTACAAACCCATAACCACAACAACTAGAATGGCATAGGGCAGTGATGGCTAACCTTTTTGTCCTCGTGCTGACAGTGCGCATGTGCACACACCCATAATGCAATGCACACGTGACAACCCCACGTGCGCCCTGTGTCCCTGCACATGCGCCCTCCCCACACACACCGTTTTGGTCCTAGCAGGCCTCCCTGAAGCCTCCTGAGACCAAAAACAGAGTGGGGGAAGCGGGGGGGGGGTGCAGCGCCCCCCCCCAGCACCCCATTTTTGGTCCCAGGAGGCTTCAGGGAGGCTGTAGATTCACCATCATGGGCATAGGGCACAAGCATGGTTAGTTCTTTACATAAGATACTAATTCCTTCATCTCAACTTCCAAGATCCAATCACCTCCCTACTTAATCTTGTTGTTACTATTTAATAGGAAAATTCAACTAACCTTCTTGCTGGAAAAAATCTTTTCTTCTTGCAGCAAATAAAACTGGCTCACTAATGCCGTGTTGCTTTGAAAAATCCCAACATCATTCCACTTTCGTTCTTGTGTCCTCACTCTTGAATTCTGCTTTGGTGGTGAAGTTTTCTATAATTCAAAGAGCAGCAGACAGTGTTAAAAATATGGATGTTGTTAGGTAAGGTCCCCAGCTGTCTGTATGTGGTATTGCGTATCAACACCAACTCTCCTTTAGCTACGTCTGGTATAACCTGGGCCCATAACCAGTGTTAGGTAAGCTCCCCGTTGGGAGAGCGAGTGCGTTCAGAGAAGCGTTGTGAGAGTTGTGTTGGAGAACACACAAACCAGCATACAGACACACTGTAGTTTAAACAGGCTTTTACTTTCATGGAANGGGCAATATGCTGACTCTCTGTAAACCGCTTAGAGAGGCCTGAAAGGCCTATGAAGCGGTATATAAGTCTACTGCTATTGCTATATATTGCTATCATTAAAAAAAATTCTTTATGCAAAACTGTGTAGAAATAAGCTCTACTCAGCTTAATGGGATTTATACCCATTGCACAGGCCAGTGTTTTGCAGTCTGGCTTGCATTTTTTTATGTGGATACTAGAAGAAAGGAATCTTGACAGTGAACCTGCCAGAGAATTAATGGAGACATTTTCAATTTGCTTCTCAGGCAGATGGTAAGAAGGCGTTAAAGCACTAGTTCTAGCCCTTATCTTTATTAAAACCAGAAAAAACTGTACTATCAAAAATTAACAATGCTGAATTTTGGTAAGCACTGTATCTTAATGCTATAGAAATAGGGGTGACAGAGCTGTGTGGGCCTGTAGATTCTCCACAACTCCATTTTTAAATTAACTAATGTAATGAATTGATTGTGGTGTCCACAACAGTAACTGAATATAGCCCCCGCTTGTTCTTTTTCATGCTTAGGCTGGCCATCATGTTAACTCAAGAGTCTTTTAACCTCTCACTGGACAAAGGTACACAGCTGTATGCTGTCTCAGCACAAAACTATAATTCATTCTAAAGAGATAATTTTTATATGATGGCTTTCATTCTCTCCAAGTCACTCCCACAAATACTTTTGAAAACATGTAATTAGGCAGGGAAACAACTCTTGTTTAACAAGGATACATATTGCCTTGTTTCCTTTTTTTTATAAGGTTGATGAGACTCATACCCATGAATAAAGCTGTACATCAAAATCAGCCCTATGCCACAAAAATGAATGAATAAAAGCCTAAGACAAATAACTTTTCTTTGAAATTGTTACTATTGTAAAAAGGTGACTCAATTAACCAGTATTAATGATTTTAAAAGGCCATTGTTATGCTGTTGAAAACCAAATAATTCACTTCCAGCATCTCTGATGCTATATATTTACGGCAGTCTTCAAACAGCTCATTCTACAATAGTTTTACAGACCATCATCCATGAGGATCTGAACACAAGCAAAGTTTTCGGGGACTCGCTTATTGGCTCCCCAAGCAAACCTCTGAGTTCTATTTTAAACATTTATAAATCTGTCCTGAAAATAATTTAAAGAGAAATTAGTATTTATGTAGTTTATATGCCTCCCATCTCACCAATAAGGTAACACATTATTCTTGCTCCTCCTCTGGTAGTTTTCTCTTTGAGCAATTTTCATAACACATCACATTGCTTTTTTAAATTGAATGAAATTTAAGCAGTAATTGAGCATCTATGTTTAGGAACACAAAGAGCCTTATTCAAACCATAATCTAACTCAAGATTGTCTACATTAATCAGGAGCAATTCTCTGAGCTTTCAGACAGGGCCTTTCCCAACCCCAGCTGGACTAGCCAGAGATTTTCCCTTGGCACCTTTCACATGCAAGGCACATGCTCAGTCATTGAGCTATGGCCCTTTCCTATGTGTTGGAAGCTAACACAATTGGGGATCTCTGTGTTAGGAGATGTAAGGAAGACTCTCCAAAAATTCAAATGATTATATAACCTTCTGGATAGTAGCCAGTGACCATGCTGGATAAAGTACTACCCAAAAATATGATCACTATAGGCCCAGTTTTTCCAAGACTGTACCACGCTGATCTCAAGCTGGCATAAAATGAAATATTTGGAAGATTCGTAAAACTTCAAGAGTACTAACTGCCAATTCATAATCCACAGTGTAATGTCCTGCTTCTACTTTGAACTTGATGTTTTCATTTCTGTAAGGAAAGAGAAAGTTTTGTTACATCTTCAAGTATTCAGAACTTTCCATGAAATTTCTTTGTAACCTGAAAACTGGGTTTATTCTTGACTATCCAAATGAAACATTTTATACCAAATTGTTCACTGATGCTATATACTTTGAATAAAACAGGGATATATAATTTTCAGTAATTATGGGCCACATGTAACTTTTTTTGGTAGGGCTAAAAATTGTAATAGAGCAACTATAAAAAAATGGGCAGAGTTACATTATATGCGGCATTATGCAGCGCTAGGGATTTGAACCGTTGCACTGGTGATCTTCTGATTGACAAGCTCAACGTCTTAGCTACTGAGCCACTGCAACCCTATTGCCTATCAATATTAAAATGCTACTATAATCTTTCCTCATGAGGGTGTTGTTCTAGAGCCACAAGAAGTTGTGTGTAGATGACATTATTCTCCATACAGCAGGTTTTTTCAACAAGGAATGAGGTTGATAGATAGCAATGGTGGGTTGCAGGCGATACACCCTGGTATGGGCGTACTGGAACCTGCCCGAAGCACTAGGGACCGTTCCGGTACGGTGCTCCGGAGGGACCACCAGCTTGCCCAAGCTACCTACCTGTGCTTTTAGCCTTTGGCGCGTCCGCGCATAGTGCATATGGCACCTTGCAATGCTCCACCGAGCAGCTGGAGCGTCGCAGAGGCTTGCGGAAGCATTGCAGGCAAGTACGATGCATGCTTACACCATGCGTGTGTGCGTGTGCGCATCCATGTGGGGGCCATTACAACCGTACCGGTTGGAACGGAATCTGGAACCCACCACTGATAGGTGTTTTTCAAGTAAGTTATGCTATCTATCAATCCTAGAATTCCCTGAACAGGAGAAGGCAACTGCTGGTAGTCCAAGAGACACAACTGTACCCGCTCAAATTGTATTTGCAGACTTGCTACACAGAGTCTTGGTGCAGACTTATTTGATTTGTTGGTTAACTGTTTGAACAAAGAAATATTGTCAAGGCTACCGAAACTACATTATATAGAGCTAAATCTGAAAATCTGTCATATATATTCTTGAAAAATGTTTTCACGTATTTCAATAGTCTTTGACTTATAACAGTTCATTTAGTGACCAAAGTTACAACGGCACTGAAAAGAGTGCCATTTTTCATACTTACGACCACCGCAGCATCCCCATGGTCACGTGATTTATCTTTGGAAGTGTGACAACTGGTTCATATTTATGACGGTTGCAGTGTCCCAGGTTCATGTGATCACCTTTGGCGGCCTTCTGACCCGCAAAATCAATGGGGAAGCCAGATTCACTTAACAACCATATTACTCAATTCAACAAGGGCAGTGATTCACTTAACAAACATGGCAAGAAAAGTCATAGACTGGGCCAAAATCCACTTAACAAATTCTCACTTAGCAACATAAATTCTGAGCTCAATTGTGGTCGTAAGTTGAGGACTACCTCTTTTGAGAAAGATTTTGAGTCAACCACTCAATTTACCTTGGAGCCATCGAACCTGTGTGGCAGGTCCGTATCCCCTCTCATTCTTGGCCGAAATCCTGAACACAATGGCCGGCTTGGATGTATGATCAACGTGAGCATTTGCAAGTTGGGCAGCAGTCACTGTACATGAGGTCTTAAGGCCACAATAGATTTTCATGAACATCAGTTGATTAGGATTTTCATGAAGCTGAGTGGTTCTTATTGCCAAATAAGCGGAATATTCCAAGATATTTCCCGAAGGGGAAACTGGAGGCTCCCATGAAAGATGAATACAGTCTGCACTCTAAAGGAAGAAGCAAAAAAACCACCTCCTTTTACAATTCTAGAGAGGAAAAACACTGTAATTTTGTTCTCTAATTCATGGTATGTGCTGCTCAATACCGAGCAAAAAATTCAGAGGCACTATTCAGTTCATACATTGTACTACTGAGCCATAATATAGCTTTCTGGATTCTGGGTTAGTGTGTTGTAAAAATTCAATTCAAGACTGCAAATGTCCTGTGTTTCTGATTTAGTGTGATCTGGGAACAGAGTAAATCAATGATTTATTCAATAAAACATGGTTAAATAAAACAGGCTTCTCATGATAAAGTGATCCGGGATTAAATATTGTCTTTCAAAGCACATATGTCTGTGTTGAGATTATGACATCTTATGATGTTTCAGTTATTTCTCCAGTAGGGTACATTATTAGAATGGAGAGAGAGAGAGAGAGAGAGAGAGAGAGAGAGAGAGAGAGAGA